GTTTATACTGGGATGGTCATTTCCCTCTTACTGGGGGCACATTTTGAAATAACCTGACACTTCTATTGTTCTGGTTAATCAGGTCACAGTGGCGACTCTCCAGTAATACCATGGCTTTGGCTAAGTGGGAGACGTCTAGAATCCTTTAGGAGCCATTAGATTTGGATGTCATAGGAGAATATACAGTAACTGGAGGACACTGCATGTGAGGCGAGTGATGCGGTGGCAGTGCAATTAAGGTGTGCCTCTAGCACTGAGTGATAGGTATTCAAATCTTGCTACATGCATGCTGAAGGCGGCTGCTGGCTGATCCAATTGCAAAGGGGCACTAAGTCATTCAGGCTGGGGAGTCAAAGATGGGTGGATGTGAAGCTGACATCATCTATTCAGGAATGCCTGCCATGAAGGGGTAAACAGAAATCCACATTCTGGATGGAGAACAGGCAGCTCCTGGTCTTGCGTTCTCTGTGCACTCAGAAAGTCTCAAAAAAATTAATTTGGCTGTGCAAGGACTATGAAAGTGGCCTTTGGTTATAAATTGATCCTTGGCTATTTTTGTTCTTATGAGATGAAGCTGAGAGTTGTGAAGTTATACCTTGAATTTCCCATATTTGATACAAAGCCATCATCACTTTGACCAAGAAGAAATGGCCATCTTTCTATTCAGATCTTTTAAAGAGATGCTTCTTAATGGCAATAAGGTGGAAAGCATTTCTGAGTCACAAGACATTGCATCTCCCTGTTCCAAGGGCTGAGCATCCGTGGCTCCTTTCAGAGTTTGTGGAGCAGAATCCAGCCCCTGACAGTGACCAAGTATGCAGCAGTACTATCAATAAATCCCTTGCAAATGGAATAAGTATATCTTAAGTATGCAAACAGATTTACTATAAGCTGTTTTAATCATCACATATGTTTCTATTTACAAATGCACCCTTTAATTTTTTTAATGTATGTACAGTCAACAAGTACAGAATTGAAAATGCCTATTAAATATTACATATAAAATATTAGTCTTCCTATAAAAATTAGATAAGATGCATTACAGTACATGATAAAAAGAATACAGTTAAGAAACACTGTTAACCTCTTTAAAAGCTGTTGTTGTTGTTGTAATTTTTTATTATTCTTTTTTACCTCTCTCCAAGATGTCTTTTTACTTACTGATTTAGCTAAATATCATCTTGATCTTTAAAATGCTACCAGTGTAATGCATAATTTTGTGGGCATTTTGATTCAAGTCAGTGGGTTTATTCATGAGGATATCCACTGCACTTTGTTTGACCTGTTTGCAAGATTCAGCCCTGTGTTTGTTTGCAATCAGTTGAGTGCTGTGGAATCCCAAAATGGCTCCTGCTTGTTTGCTGTCTGTCCCCAGAGTTGCAACATCATCAGCAATAACCGGGAGACTCTGGCCTACTCTTGGAACATGCAGTCACAAGGTGCTGTGAGCTTCAGTCATTGCTCCTTCTTTGTTTAAAGATAAAACATTTGTTAATGGGAAGAACTCAGGCAACCAATGATCATTGCATTTTAGCTGTTCAAAACCAGCACCGTTTTCTTTTCTTTTATGTTTCTGGACAATGGAATTAGAATTTAATGTAAAAAACAAAACAATGTTATATTTAAGGAAGTCAAAATTAAGCCTAATCAGGTTGAAAATGCTTCTTTAAATTGTAAAACATAAATTTGAATTTACAGAGTAATCAACTCATTTTCAGTAGAATTATGTGCTGTTTGGGTGATTTGCGTGTACATATTCTACAAGTGACCGGTCTAAAACTCTTTCAGTAAGAACTTCTTCTACTATGTTTATGTCCTGAAATAAGAAAAAAAAGTGATATAGTCAGACATACAGATAAAAAGCCATTATAATTTTAAAAAGAAAAGTCTATTCTTGAGTGCTTAGGCCTTCATCCAACAAAACACTGGTTTCAATCGGGTTATGTGCTCAGTTAAAGTTAAGCATGTACTAAAATACTTGGCTAGATCAGGTCCTAATTTTCTACTCTTCAGTTGTAATCACTCACAATTTAAAGTGGGGAAAAGCCTTCACTGTAAAACTAATTAGAAGCAGGTAGGGTGCCAAATACAGACAAGCAAGAACAATACATTGATTATGCAAGAGTCAAGCAATGTTCACGTTATGACAGGTCCTGATTTGAGTGATGCATGTTATAGTATAGCATATAGAAATAACAAAAATTATTTCAGGAAAAATTCTATTTCACCTAGTGAATGACCAAAGTACAGCTTGAGATTGAGTTGCTTGACTGAGTTGTATGAGTAATTCTGTTACTCTCTCGTGCCTCTTAAGGGAATAGAGACACACATGTGCATTGTAGGAGGGATTTTCTATTCTCTGCTATCCCTGTAAGGGGGAAACTTAGGCACTCAGAGAGAGTAACAGAAACACTCCTACACAACAGTTAGGTACCTCAAAGTTAGTCTCAAACTGCATGTTAGTTGTTTACTGAGTGAAAAAGAATTCTGCCAGTGGTGTCTTGACACTACACTGAAAATAAAACAAAAAGACATGAACCATCAATAAAATACAACCCTCCAAAGTGAATTTCTGTTATATGCATGTAGTATGGATTAGAATTTTATTGGTGTTCATGTGTTTGTTTTTTTCCCCTCATTTCTGGCATCACTTTTTCAGTGGTCTGGCCCAGTGGTTCCCAACCTTTTTTATATACTGCAGACCAGAGAACTCACTCAAAGAATGTTGGTGCAATGGGTATAGAAACAATCTAATTTACATATTTAAATTTAAT